ATGGTAGATACCCAACACATAATTAAAGAATTAAAAAGGAACCAAAGAATAATTAAGAAACAAATCGAACAATTCAAGAATTCGGTACCCAGAATAATAACTCTAGAAGAACTTGAAGAAATTGAATCTTGGATACAATCTAGGATCAATAACCCGAATACTATAACCTGCTTGACCCTAACAGTATTGAAAAGTAAACTAAACAATCAGGACTTATATGACCAACTGCCAGGAACGGATAAACCATTCGGAGCTTAAACAAAAACTGAAATCAGAAAACTATAATATAACTCACATTAAAAAATCAGAAGTGACAACTATATCTTATACAGAAGAACGACAAGAAATTGAAAACAGTTTATTATACAAAGAATTCAACAAATCAAAAAATAAGCGAAATTTAGAAAACTTTGATAAATATTTAATTATCTTAGGAGCAATAACCCTTGCAGAACAAAAACCAGAAGACTTTAAACATAAATATTGGTTGAACAACCTAATACAAAAACAATTGCGAAGTGGATTAGAATTGAAACCAGATTATAACCTAAATAACTTCAAGGCAATCCAACTAACCCCAGAAAGAACTGAAGATGTTAAAAAAGAAATAAACCAAAAACTATTGGAACTAAAACAAAAATATTATCTAGAACAATTGAAAAGGCTATATCTAGCAAACCAACAAGGAAGTTACTATTAAATGATCAGAGCAGAAATAACTAAAAGTAAACTTGGAACACTAATTGACAAAATAATTAAAGAACTTGAAAAGGATCAAAATCTAATTAACAAAGTAAAGAAAGAAGAAATATTAGCAAAGATAAGAAACGCAGAATCAGAAGAACCAACATTCAAAGAAGAAAAAGAAAGAATAATAAAATATTTGGAAAAAATAACGTTTAAAGAACAAAACAAGATTGAAAATTATCATCAAAGGATTGATACTATAAGTTGGTTAAGAAAACAACTTTACGAAGACGCGTTACACCATTGCATTAACTGTAATTTAGGCTGGAGATATTATAATTTACACGACTGCAACTACGACAGTGAACCCGGCAAGGAACTAAGAAGACTATACAATATAACAATAAAAGAACTCAACAAATTAATTGAAGAAGACCCTGGGAATAAGAATTGTATAAATTCTGAAAAAATAATCAAAACAATAAAGAAACAAATATTTGAGTCAAAAACTCCGATGTATATTGAAGAAAAAGAAAAATTAATTAAAGAAATTAAAGACTTAAACAGAATCACCCCGGAAGCATATAAATTATTAAAATCAAAAATTGAAGAAAAATTAAAATGAACCCAAACGAATCTAATGGATGGACCCAACAAAGACCAAACTACTGTAAGTGGTGTGATGAACATGTTGAAAACCCCGAAGAACATAACTGTCGAATCAAAGACCAAGAACTCCGAGAAATTACAAAGGAAGA